ATATTAAAGAAACCCTTTTTTTTAGCACTATAGCTACAAAAACATGACTTGGAGAAGAAAAGCCTTAAATTTTTTGTCATTTTCCCTGCGAGTTAGAAAATATGTTTAATGGGTTATCTTGATGAGGAAGACAAATCAAGGCATGTCTGTGGCATCGCTCATGAAGGATGATCCWGGTATAAAAACCAGGAATCTGAAAATGTGCTCCTCTCTCAAATCATTATGGGAATAATTTATCTCCATAGCTCACAAATAAGATCATTGGACCAATAAAAKTAGTAACTCTTTACCATTTCAGAACTCATTAAATCAACCTAGATGTTTAAATATTGTCTTGTAGAGTTAGTAAAGTAGACCTGACTGCATGTTTTGTTTTTTATCTGTGGACAGCAGGAGCCAGTGTGTCTCCTGTCCATTGGGTGTCCCTGCAGCAGCTGCAGGCGGTCTGCAGGAGGAGGTCTGATGGAGGATCTGGGTGGAGTTAAGTTTCTGTGTCAACTGACAAACCTTCACAACAAACTAACAGGTGTCTTCCTCCATTAGAGCCCCACGAGCAGACAGCCGGTCACTCACGCGCCGGGGAGGTGGGCCTGAAACTTCACGCGCTCTGTCTTTTTTTTTTTTCTTTTTTTTTTTTTTTTTAAGTTTGTCATTTTCTTGTCGCCTTCCAACTTTGCGGCGCAGCTCAGAGGCACCATGCACTCGGCGCAGAAAGACACCACCTTCACCAAGATCTTTGTGGGGGGCCTGCCCTACCACACCACGGACTCCAGCCTCAGGAAGTACTTCGAGGTGTTTGGGGACATCGAGGAGGCTGTGGTCATCACCGACCGGCAGACCGGCAAATCCAGAGGTTATGGATTTGTGAGTAAAAAAACAAAAAAACATCTTTGAATTGATGAGACAGGAGAGACTGGATCCAGTGGTTTTGTTTTCTTTGTAATTATTAAAATGTTTTGAATTGTTGCCAAATAAATAAATAGATGGTTTTTATTTTCTATTATATGTGACGTTAAGACAAATGTCAAATAATCTGTGAGAAACAATAAAAATGTGTGTTTTCTGCCAGGTGACCATGGCTGACCGGGCCTCAGCAGACCGGGCCTGTAARGACCCCAACCCCATCATAGATGGCAGGAAGGCCAACGTAAACCTGGCCTACCTGGGGGCCAAACCCCGAGTCATACAACCAGGTGAGGAACTGGAGCAAATAAAAACCAGATAATGTCTGAACAGCCGTATTATTATTATTATTATTTATCATTTGTAACAGTTATTTTAAAATGTGCTGAGCTCTTATTTTGAAAGGGAAATTGATATTCAAAGGTCACTAGACCCCCACTTGATGTTACATGACTCTTATTGGGGTCCTGACCCCAACTGAGAAGCACTGAAGACCACCTCAGTCAAACTACGAAACGGCGTTTTCTGAAAAGGATGAGTGCTAAACTATGACGGAGTATTGGGGCCACACAACAAAATTATTTAAAATTATTATTACAAGATTAAAGTCTTAATATGACGAGATTAAAGTCATAATATTGCAAGATTAAAGTCGTAATATCACGAGAAAAGTCATAATCATGACGTGTCTATTAACCGTTCCTCATTTCCTCCTTATTTCCCCCTCACATGTTGTGTACAACCAAGTGTCTCTGTGTTTATAAAGTAGACATGATGACTCGGGTCACTGTTGGTGTAAAATGCTTTCATCCAAATTAGGTACGTGCCGACTAAATCCAACAATGCATCCATTAATTACAACACGGCTTCAGTTTATAGTCGTTTGCACAATTTCCAAGTTCTGCTGATAATTTGATGCTAATGTGCTAAAAGATTATTTATTTATTTATAGCAATATTAAAGAACAACTTGACAAGTTGCTCAACATTCCTCGTTTTAATGCGGTGATAACTGAACGCTTTTTTGTGTAAAGGCTACAAAATTATGACTTTTCTCGTAATATTATGACTTTTCTCATAATATTATGACTTTAATCTCGTAATATTACGACTTTATTCTCATAATATTATGACTTTAATCTCGTAATATTACGACTTTATTCTCATAATATTATGACTTTATTCTCGTAATTTAAAAAAAATCTTGTTGTGTGGCCCTAATACTCCGTCGTACTAAACAAATCAGCTGAAGTTTGATAAAGAATCTGAAAATGAGTTGTTAAAGCTAAAAAAAGCAAAACAGTAGCTAAAAGGTACAAGTTTCCAAACAGCTACAATGTAAAAGAAGCAAAAATCTAAGTAAAAGTAGAAATAGGCTAGCTAAATGTAGCAGAATGCTTGCTAAAACTTTAAAACAGAAATGTTTGCTAAAAGCCAAAATGAGCAAAGCACTAGCTAAAAGTTAAAAGTTTCAGAATTGTTACATTTTAAGAGTAGCAAAACTCTAGCTAAAAGTAGAAATAGGCTAGCTAAAAGGTAAATGTATCAGAAAGCTAGCTGAAACTAAAAATAGAAACATTAGCAAGCATAGCTTAAAGCTAAAAGTGGCGAAACTCTAGCTAAAGGAAGAAAAATGCTGACTTTAAAGCTGAATAGAGCAAGCAGCTAGCTAAAAGTAGAAAAGGGCTCACTATTAGCTAAAATAAAATAAAAAAAAACACTAGCTAAAATCCAAAAGTAACAAAACACTCASTGATAGCAGCCAAGCTTTTGGTAAAAGTAGACATGTGCTAGCTAAAAGCTAAATTTTGCAAAAGGCTACCTAAAACCTAAAAGTAGAAAAGGACTTGCTAAAAGTAGCAAAAGGTTCAATAAAAGCTAAAAGTGGTAATATGTTAGCTAAACGTAAGTCTGAACTATAAAGTATTTGGTTCTCAATGTATTTTCATGGAAACATTATTAAAAAAAGTTAAATAATTTAAAATTTATAATAATGAAAAGTCACAACACATCTCCTGACTTAGCTGAATGTTTTGGTAACGTGGCTAAAATGGCATAAAGTGTACAGAAGTAGTTTCTGCTGCAGTAAATCTGAGACATAATTCAAAAAAACGCCTCTTATTATCTAGATGTTCAACAGATGAAACCCTAATAATCACCTCAGGAACACGGTTCGTTTTTGTAACAATCATTTGTCTTAATTTTAGGTTTTGCGTTTGGCGTGCCTCAGATCCATCCAGCGTTCATCCAAAGGCCGTACGGGTACGTTCAAAACTCCTCTCTCTTTTGGAAAATCTGTGTAAAATTACTTTTAAAAATAAAGACGAAAATCATGAATATTTCATATTTTAAACCTGATTTTTATTGTTGCCTCCACTTTTTTCCCCACCATAAATGAGGACGTGTGAGTGTCAGAATGTCTTCTCTGTTGTTTGACTGTAAAGGTGTCCTGTCTGTCTGTCTGTCTGTCTGTCTGTCTGTCTGTCTGTCTGTCTGTCTGTCTGTCTGTCTGTCTGTCTGTCTGTCTGTCTCTGTCTGTCTGTCTCTGTCTGTCTGTCTGTCTGTCTGTCTGTTCCACCCTCAAACTGAGCCCCGGCAGGACTTGACTTCACGCTGTTCTGTGTATCTTATCTCTCTCTGATCCGACAGGCTCGGTAACGGTTAAAATAGCAGATGAAGGGGCAGGATGGTTTGAGGAATAGCTGAGTCAGCATTTGGCAGAGCACTAAGAGTCTTACCTGTAAACTGTGACAAACACAAACGAGCCGCAACGGTGACTAGATGCATGGAAGTCTTTGGTTGTTGTTTTTACAGTTTTCTTTAGTACATAGATGGTGTGTGCCTTGATTTTCAGTATGATGTGGTGTTCAGCTTAACTGTGTGCATATTTCTACTTGCAGTGGTGGGGGGGCACTGGGGTTTTTTGGGGGGGCGGGAGGCAATATTTGATCAGTTTGCTCAGGGAGTTATAACTCTGCAATGGAGTGTTGATTCTTAATCATTGTGCTTTAGCGTGTCTTTCTTTTATTTTTATTTTTTTGTTGTTGTTTTTTTTCCCTCCCACTGATGGTTTTGTTGTCCGAGGGGTGGGCTGATGATGATGACGACTCACGGTGTGTTCACTCCACAATGATCCCCTGCAACAAAACAAACACYGGCTTGCATGTGGGAGGTTTTTATTCTTACCCATGATGCTGTGCTGTTGGTTTTGTTTTTGTTTTTTTATATTAACATATTGCTTTCATTCCTATACAGGCACAACATACTGACCATTTTTTTTCTGTTCTTGTAAAAAAAAAAAGAGACATTTTAAAGTTTTTCCACCAGTTCAGAGGCCTCATTTAACAACAAAAAAAAAAATTATACCATGTTAAACTGAAGTCTATTATAAAGTTTTAGATTTAAAGGGATCTCTTACTTGTACATGTTGGCCTTATTTCTCTATTCCACTAAAAGGTTGTTTGTGACAACTGAAAACATCTAATTATTTAAAAAAATATTTTTAATTACATTTTTAACCTAAGCATGTCGACATTTTGTTATTGACCCAATGCCTTCTGGGGCGATGATGATGGGTTACAGTTGAGACGAAAGCACAAAGGGTCGAGGCTAAAAATCTATATGTGAGTCAATAAAGTTTTATTTTTTATTCACTTCTATGTTCTGCACAATACATGGGTTGAAACGATCAAACATGATGTTCAGTAAATTAGCTTGTGAGCTAAGGCCATATATTGCCTTACACAGTATGTTAGCTCTGAATCTAACATCAAATATCGCCATATGCTAGTTTTGAGCTAATGCCTTATCGCCATATATTTATAAGCTGAAGAACTAACACCAGATATCGCCATATTCGCTCGAGAGTTAATGTCATATATTGTCTTATATTTATTAGCTCTGAAGCTAATGTCATTTATTTATTAGCTCTGAAGCTAATGCCATACATTTATTAGCTCTGAAGCTAATGCCATACATTACCATATATTTATTGGCTCTGAAGCTAATGCTATACGTTGTCATATATTTATTGGCTCTGAAGCTAATGCCATACATTGTCATATATTTATTAGCGCTGAAGCTAATGCCATACATTGTCATATATTTATTAGCTCTGAAGCAAATGTCATATATTTATTAGCTCTGAAGCAAATGTCATATATTTATTAGCTCTGAAGCAAATGTCATATATTTATTAGCTCTGAAGCTAATGCCATACATTGCCATATATTTATTAGCTCTGAAACTARTGCCATATACAGTATTTATTAGCTCTGAAGCTAATGCCATATATTACAATTCAAATTCAATTCAAAAATACTTTATTGATCCCAGAGGGAAATTAGGTAAACCATATGGTATTACCAAATACTTATTAGCTCTGAATCTATATATTGCCATATGCTAGCTTTTCTTTCCTCCGTCCACATTTTCAGTTTCAGACTGAGTCGTTTCTACATTCTCCTCTCTGTCAATGCGCTGTTTATTTAATTTTTTAACGGTTTAATGTCAGAAATTGTTCGAAATTAATGTTCAAGCTGGATAGCGTTCACAGCAGAGCAACTGGTAAACATCATCATTATTTACCCAGAATGCTTTGTAGCATAAATAACATGGCCATGTCCAGGTGACAATATATATATTTTTTAATTTGTAAAAACTAAACAGCCTATAGTCATTTTTAGTTTTGTTTTATAGTTGAAATAAATGTTTATCAAATAATATCTAATGTAACAACTAGTCAGAGTTCCCTTTAAAGATAACCTGTAATGTTGAGGTTTTTAATGAACTTTATAAATTTAAGTTTAGAAACATTTAGGGACGGACTCAAATGTTCACGAGTTTAGGTTGGAGACAGAGATCTTAGCCGAGCAGCTGTCGGCCACAGTGATCTGCAGAGCTTCTCAAATTCAGCTGGAAAAAAGGAGTCGGTCAGCTGCGCTGTTAATAATGTATGGCACAAACTCTGCGAGCGGACAACAGGTGGGCCGAGCCGTGCGCCCGTCCAGGCCTTCTGGTTCTGTGCTGGGGGGGGGGATTACCCATGTGTTCTGTTGACTTACAAAGCGCCTTTATTTAGCTCTGAGCTTGTAGGATGACAAAACGTTCAACTTTTGTCCATCAAAAGCCAAAGCTAAAGACTTTTTTTAATGTCACAATTAGGTTCCAAAAACATGCAATGTAACTTTAGAGCAAAGGTGTCGACGCTTCCCAGAATCCCACTTTATTTTTTCTTTTAATCACCTGGGACAGCTTCGGGCCCGCTCATTAAACTTTCAGGAGCAGGAGTGAAAGAGTAGAGCGGCGGGCAGTTGTCGAGCGCTCGGCCACGTGTGACTGATGCAGGAGATCAGCTTGTTCTTTGGAGATGACAAGAGGAGCAAAAAATAGCACGCTTCCAGCCTCTCTTGTCAGTCAACTTGACGAGTTGTGGAGTGGGGGTGTAATGGGGGGGGGAAAGGGGCAACTTTTCTGTGGACAAATATAATTCCCACCTGCTGCTCAGTATATTTACTGAGGGGGACTTCAGCACGAGTTGGAAATGGGGACAAGTTTACCCAGATACACAGATCTGTAAAACCTCATCAGCTTTAATTCCCAGCTCGGATTTTCATTTTTCTTCAGTAAAAAGTAAAAAAAATATATTTTTAGATTGGTAAATATTTTCAGTTCACTCCTACAATATGTTCCTTTCAGTTGGATGAGTTGTGTAAAATGTAAATAAAAATAACATTTCATGATATGCCCATCCAATAAATCCATATTTTACTTTTAATAGAGCATAGTTTCAATGTTTGGTATGCTCACTAAGAAATGTTGATCATTATTCGGAAAAAATAAGGTAATTTTGGTAGGACAGGGTAAACAAACGGACATAAAAATAAGAAACAGGTGGAGCGTCTTGCAGCTAATTAGTTGGCAACGAATCAGAGGATTGTATACTGTATAAAAAGAGCTTTCTAGAGAGAACTTAAGAGTCTGCTCATGCAAACAGTATCTGTAAATAATGGAACAATTTTAGAATAATGTCCCCTAACAAAATATTTCAGAATCAGATTTATTGCCATTGTCAGAATTTACAGACTAGGAATTTGCTTCAGTGTAAAGGTGCAATAGGAATAAAATATAAGAAAAAAAGAAAATACAAAGG